GCATGTAGGTAAGTGTACCCGTGTTGTGCAATGCCCACAGAGGACAGAAGAATCTATTGGATTCCCTAGGACTGGACTTACAGACAGTTGTTAGCTGCCATGTGGGTGCTGGGATTCGAACCTGGGTCTTCTGCAAGAACAGCCAGTGTTCTTAACCGCTGAGCCATCTCTCTAGTCCCATGTTTTTTTTTTTGTCTTTCTGAGACAGGGTCTCCTCGTAGCCCCAGCTGTCCTGGAACTATGTAGACCAGGCTGGCTTTGAAGTCACAAAGATTCGCCAACCTCTGCCTCCCAAGTGCTGGGATTAAAGGCGTACACCACCATGCCCAGCCAACCAGCCCCATGTTTTCAATTCTTATATACGTCAACTACTGCATGGATCAGGTTTCTAGTTAAAATCTGTTTTTCCTACATAGTCACAAGAAATGTGTGTTGCTTGTCTAACATGCTTAAAGGGAAAAAGTTGATAACCTTCAGGTATTACAACATAGGAAACACATATCAATTTTGTCAGTGTCAAGGAGGCACGTATGAATAATCCAAAGAATTAAGGGCAATCGGAAATTAGGCAAGAAAAGAGTCTAGCTAGAACAGAATTCTGATGAAGCTGAATAATTAACAGAAATGAATTAGTGGCTGTGTACTTTACATTTTATAAAGTGTATAATCCAAAGATTATATACCGCTAACACACAAAAAGAAATTGAATTTGGTGGAAAAGACAAAACAAACTTACTTACATGATAACTTTTTGTCCATAAATCTGAAAAAGCAAGAGTTATGATTTACTTAAAAAAATTCTAAGCATAAACAAGCACAGAATAGGTACAATTAATTTGATAAAAGCTGAACCAGTGAGATGGCTCAGTGGGTAAGGATATTTGCTGCTATGCCTGATGACCTGTTTGGACCCCTGGAACCCATAAGTGAACTACTTCCTTAAGTTGTACTGACCCGCATACCCATGTCTTGGCATGCATACACTACACCAACACAATAAATACACGTAAAAAGTAGTATGTACAATAGATGGGCTGGAGGGATGGGTCAGCAGATTAAGAGTACTGGCTAGTCTTCCAGAGGACCCAGTTTGGTCCCAGCAGCCATATGGTGGCTAAGAACTATCCTTAACTCCAGTTCTGGGGGATCTGATGCCCTCTTCTGGCCTCCTGCACAATGCAAGAAAGCGATACACTTACAAGCAGGCATTGTTAAATTTGATACACAAAACAATGTAATTTGGAACGGGGCAAGGTAAAAATGGGAGATTTTTAAGATATTAATTCTTATTAGGTAGTTATACTACTGAAATTACAAAAACACTCTTGTTCAGGACTATGTTGATTCACTGACCACAGTCATTGACCCCATTTAAAAGTCCAGATAGACTGGGTATGGTGGTGTGTGTCTTTAATCCCAGCACTCAGGAAAAAGAGGTAAACGGATCTCTGCAAGTCTGAGTTCTAGGCTAGCTGTGGCTACAGAGAAGTTCTGTCTCAAAAATAAAAAAACAAAACAAAAAATTGGAAGGGCGGCCAGTGTTCTTAACAGCTGAGATATTTCTCTAGCCCTAGACAGTCTTACTACATAGCTGAGACTGAGGTTGGCTTGAAACTGTGTAGCCCAAGCTGGCCTTCAACCTGCAATCTTCCTGCCTCAGCCTCCCAAGTGTTGGGATTACAAGCCTGTACCATTTATTTAATACTAAAATACTAAACTTCCATGTTCAGGACAGATCTCAACATGTAATTTATGTTTTAGTGAAATACATACATATTTTGAAACTTCAATTTGAATATGAAAACCCATTTTAAAGACAGTATAAAAATATAATAAACCAAGTCAAATTACGAGTTCCAGGCTAGTTGTGGCTAGAGCGAGACCCTGTCTCAAAAAGACCAAAAAAAAAAAAAAGAGGTTGTTGTAGGAGTTAGTTTTCTCCTTCAACAACCAGGTTATCAGACTTGGCAGTGAGTACCTTTGCCTGCTGAGCATCTCACTGGCCTGTTAAATTAGTTTTTGCTTCTTCCAGCAACAAGCAAAAAAATACGTAAACTTTCCTTTCCTTTCCCCCTTCTCTTCCTTGCTGTACTGAAGGATGAACCCAGAGCCTCATGCAAGAGCATGTTTTTAATCTGGATCTCTGTGAGTCTGAGGTTAGCCTGGTCTACATAGTGAGATTCTGTCTCAAATAAGCAAGCAAGCAAGGCTACACCAGAAAAACTGATCCAGTACTAATGTCTCAGTCTGTACAATCAGAACACTTTATGCAGAATTTCTCCTTGGCACGGTCCAGACAAAAAAAAAATCATTACATCCAGGCAGGTTCAGGTCAGTCAGGAAGTGCCTGAGGACCCAAAACTTTATAAACTGGATCCTGTTAAAGGATGTTTGTTTAATTTTACTGAGCGCACAACAAAGTCCCGCAAAATTAGCTTTCTCTGATTAAGAGAATGTTCTTTCACAAATCTATCATCAGAGCAAGGCACTACACCACCACACTGAAGTTCAACCTGAACACAAGAGTAAAGCACATGTGCACGTGGAGATGTACCAGAAACCTAGTTCTCTTAATGTGTGCAACAGGAAAGCGCACGTTTATTGAAACACGACATGCTTCTCACGATACATCAAAAAAAACAAAAAACAAAAAAAAACCAAACACCGGGGCTGGACATGGCTGCTCTTGCAGACGACCCAGGTTGGAAACCCAGCACCCCTATGGCGGCTAACAACTGTCCGTAACTGCAGTTCCAGAGGATCCGACGCCCTCTTCTGTCCTCCGAGGGCACTCACATACACGCAGGCAATACTTATACACATAAATAATATTAAAAGACCTGGAAGGCAGGAAAAAGGATTGAGATTTCTAACGGTCAAAGAAACGTTACAAACACGTTTTGAGACAGATCTCACTTGGTAACCTAGGCTGGCTTCGAACTCGCGGCCTTAGTCTCCCGAGTGCTGGAACAATAGGCACACCACGACTTCAACTTTCAAACGCATTTTTTAAGGCCAAGGGACTTTCGCCTCACGGGCGACCTCACGCCTGACCCGGCCGGGTCGCCGAGGCGCCTACGGAGGTAACCATGTCGACCGTGCGACTGCGTCGTCCGCACCGGCTTCCGGCTTCCACGCGCGGGCCGGGAGAAGGGCTCTACTCACTTCTTCAGCTCGGGAGGGTGGGCCTTACTCATGGCGGCTCCTCAGCAGGCACAGCACGGCTGCGAAGAATCGGCTAGCCAAACACGCTCCCCACGCTCCCCACGCTCCCGCGCGGCGGGCTCAGCTAGGTTGGCGTCTGACGTCACTGCCCCACGAGCCAATCGTTTTCCCGTAATCGTCACCCTTCAGCTCGCGATACCGAGGGGAAGCATGAACGTGCCTCTCTGCGTCCCGCTTCCGGTTGCGTCATCGGTGATTGGCCAGGACGGAGAGGCCGGGTTCGACTGCGTTTCCTTTGTGTCACCCCTCTTACGTCTTCTTCCCTTTTTTTCTCTCGCCTCACTCTTTTCTGTTTCCTTTCCCTTTCCCCTTTATTTTTGAGCCTCACGTAATCCAGGCTAGCTATGTAGTTGAGGTGTGCCTTGAACCCTTTGTCTTTTTGCCGCAGGTTCAGGGAGTGCTAGGATTTCAGGTGTGCGGGCCCCAGCCCAGCTGTTTACTTACATAAAACATATAGTATTTTGTTTGTAAGTGGCTTGGAACAGCCTGTGAGGCTAGCCTCCATTTCACTGATAATTCTCCTGTCTCTGCCTCCGGAGGGCTGGGATTAAAGGCAAGCGCTACTATGTCTGGTTGAAATACCGAGTATTTTTGCGGTATTCCCACAGCACACCCAGGCGAAGCTGAGGGTTCCTGTAACGTCCAAGTTACCGAATGGTCTATTTGCATGAGGAGAGGAAGGGGTGCTGGATTTCTTCTGATGTGACTCTAGAGCCCTGGAGTGTGATGGAGCGTTACCAATAGGCTTGCAGTTCTAACACTGCCTACAGACTCCCACTTATCACCTAAAAGACCAGGCACACCACACAAATGTTCAGAGGTATCGAGTTCCCATATTAAGTGCACAGTGTAAAATGCGTGCATCCACTGCTACACAAAATTAGGTGACTTAAAAAACTTAAGTCAGAAGTTTTTTGTTTTGTTTTTTTCTTTTTTTGAGTCAGGGCCTATTATAGGCCAGACTGGACTCAAACTCGAGGCTTCAGCCTTTTAAGTGCTGGGATTGCAGGCAGGCACCACCACAACCTGCAGTCTGTATATCTTCTACATTAAGTCACAATGCCCTGGCCTTCCCTGGTTTTCCCATTTACAGTGAACCATCTCTGTATCAGAACACAGAACTAATTTGCATTCAGGACCTCCTTAAAAATTCCACAGCATACTGACAGTGTATTCACTACTTCAGATAGTAGGAAAGAAACACAATAATTGGAGACAATGAAACTTTATTTAAAAACCAAACATCTAGGAAAATACATCACAGGTTTGACACAGCAAACAAACAGCTACATTACCATTTCAAGTAAGAGGTTGGTACAAAAACAACATGGTACCCTTATCCAAAAGATAAGGTGCCTTGGGGGGGTGGGGCGCAGAACACTGTATGGTGCAAAGGCCCCAGGCAAAAATGGCATTTGGTAAATGGGAGGCGTGTGCCTTTCTTTTGCTCTACAGGAGTCACAGCATTCCTTGGCCCAAGTTGCTACTTTTTGTCCTGTTAGGGGATTACCTCAAAGAGGCTCTATCAAGTCAGTAAAATTAAGTGAGCAATGCTGGGTTCAGGCTTTTACTCTTCAAATCCAGGTTTTCATAAGTCCAGTACTTTTCAGTTAGTTAGCAGTTCCTAATATACTGTTTAATCCCAGATACTGCTATGTGTGTGACAAACCTTTCTTTACTGGGGGACAGTGTCAATGCAAGACAGTTAGGTCCCTTTGCTGCAGAAAGCCACTGAAGGAAGCCGTTTTTCACATAGTGTTGACACTGCTGTGTTTCTGCAGGGTTTCCAGATTGAAAAATGTGCTGCAAGAATTTGAGGAAATGACACCCACATTATGGTGTCAGAAAATACAAGACACCTTCCAAAATTTTCCAAACTCCTCTCCCAATTCCATACTCTTAATCCACTTCATGTCCCTCCATACAAGACAAAACCAAATGACGATCTGAAGAGGGAACCTTTTTTCTCCTAAATTACTGGTCTATTGGATGTTTCACAGCTTATGCAAGCTAGTGTGGTGATCTTTTTGGTAAACAGAAGGTTGGCAACAGACACACCTCTCCTCAAACTGTACCAGATCTTTGGGAGGTTGAAGGAACCTGGCAGCCTGTAGTAAGAAGAATCTGGGACCTTGGTACAAGGGCAATCTCTACTGCCAGGACAAGCACTTGCACATGAAATTCAAGATCCGAAACACTCCCCTGTGCTATCTTTGACTCAAATGTTAGCACCAGTTTCCACTTCATTTTCTAGAATCCAAATATAAAGGAACTGTCGTCCAGAGGCAAGTGGGATGTGCCTGGAACTTGCTGCACACTGAGTTTCCTCACTCATAAATTTGCTTAACAGACTAAATTCCCATTCTTCTTTTTAAATAAGTTCCTGCCCTCAGTCTCAGTGGTCACTGGCAGACTTTTATTTTCCAATGGATGAGAGAGACTCCTTCATCTTCTTGGTCATCGTTGGGATGAGGTGCATGTGGTCATCCACACACTTGGCCACACAACTGTCCAGCTGCTGCTTCACCTGCAGCTCCTTATTGCCTGCATCCATTGAGTCTTTGGCTTTGTCACTGCAATGCATGGTGCACCGGGTCAGACGGTCCTATGGCAAGAAGGAAGAGGGAAGAGAAGGGCTGAGAGGCTGGTTTCATTTACTGAGTGTTGATCATGTGTCAGGCCTTGGCTATAGGCTTGATACAGATTATCTTTGTCAGTTAATGATTCTCTTAACTAAAACGGAAGGTGTCCCTGGGATGGCTCAGACTAAGCAGTACTAGAAAGCAGGGGAATGAGAGAATGAATGCTACAGAAGATACTAGCAGCAGTAAGAGGCTACTGTTAAGACAAACATCTTTTTTTCCCCTCCCATTTCTCATGCATGTATGTGTATACATGTTTTTTCATCTGTGAGGGTGTGCTCCATCATGTGAAGGCAGGAGGTTGGTGTCGGGAACCATCCTGGATTGCTCTTTCACCTTATTCCCTGAAGCACGGCTTCTCAATCAAACCTAGAGCTCACCAATCTGGTTAGTCCTGCTAGCCAGCTTGCTCTGGGGAGCCTCATCTCCATCTTCCAAGTCTGGAATTACAGGTAGGCAGTTATACCTACCCTGAATGGATTTCTGGGGATCAAAACTCCAGTCATTAGGCTTACAACGGCAAACGCTTTAGCTGCTGAGCCATCTCCCCAGCCCATGTTTGATTCTTTAATATCTGTCCTTGCACACAATTCAAACATTTGTTAGGCACTTAACTAAGTGCCAGGCTTATTTCTGTTTTGGAATGCAGAAATGAACAAAACACAAAGTTCCTGCTCAAACTGAATTTATAGTCCAACAAGCAAAACTGTTAATGAAGGAATGGGATATATGAATCTGGAGTTCAGCAATAAGATCTGGTTCAGAGGTGAAGTCAGGAGCTAGGGGTGTGGGGCGGTGGCAGTGACAAGTTTTTGGCTTTTCTGGGTCGTTTTGTCACCTATAAAGTTCATCATGGAGAAATGCACAATCCAGTTTTTTAAAAACACACACACACACACAAATCTCACAATGGTTTTTGGGCTGTATTCATAGCTAGCCTGCACTGACTGTGGACCATAGGCCATAGGTTGGAAACTCCTGCTGCAGAAAAACTACTGTGCCAGTGTAGACAGAGGAGAACTGAGCAGTCACTGCTGGGCTTAGACCCATGGAGGTGCCCACATCCACAGAGTAGTTCTGTGGAGGAGAGGGAGGGAGGAAGGGAAGGAAGGAGAGAGGGAGGGAGGGAGAGAGACCCCCTGGAGTGGCTAAAGGGAAAGAGAAAGTTAAATTGCTAATAACCAACTTCTCTATGACTGCATCCAGAAATTATTGACAAAATGAAAAAAAAAGGGGGAAACCTTTGCAGTTACTCCTTCACAAAGGCAGTAATTGTGAAGAATTGTGTATAGCATAGTGTAAAAGTGTATCCCACGTTAGGTGTGACTGTCATGTGAATGGAAGCTCAGGTTAACAGAAGAGCGTTTTGGTCCCAAATCCCACAAAAATATACTTAGAGGAAAGGAGTAGAATGAAGTTATGGATATCCTTTGTTCCAGGGAGGGAAAAAGATTTCCTTGTGTCCTTGGAAGGGCCTGAGTCAGGTATCAAGAACCAATAATAATGTTTAAACTAGGCATGGTATCACAGGTCTGTAATCCCAGCATTTGGGAGGGTAGAAGCAAGTACTGCTAATAGTTCCAGGCCAGCCTGAGCTATAGAGCTGAGACCCTGTCTCACAACCCAGAACAATAATACTTCTTATAACTGACCTTTCAGTGCCATGAAGCCTCTTGGGTGTCCCACATAGGTGCAGTTTTGGGTAAGGGTTTAAATTACAAATACTGGTAGGATCTTCCTCTAATTGGCATCTTTTTTTATTTTATTACCCGTGTGTATGTGGCACACATATAGAGGTCAGAGGACAGCTTGTGAGTTGGTTCTCTCCTTTCACCTTTACATGAGTCTGGGGATTGAACTCAGGTTGTTAGGCTTATGTGTCAAGTACTGAGCCATCTTGCTGGTCCCTAATCTGTACTTTTTAAAGACTAATACCTTAGTCCATTTTCCAGGGAATTCTGTTATTTTAAAATGAATTAAGGGAGAGGAGCTCACAAGGCCCCACCCCTAGCTGAGAAGCTACTATAGCTGAAGGCTACAGGAGAAAAGGGGAGTGGTTTTTCTTCAGGGATGTTCCCACTGGTAAGTAACCAATTCTCTAGTGAACAACCCCACACTCATGCTCATGCAAGCAACCCTAATTAAACTTGGTGAATCATTAAAAAAGACATGAAAATAGGAGACTGACTTGTAAGAAAGGGTCCAGGGGTGGAGGAGGCTCCAAGTACATCACATGTACCAAATTGTGAAAGGGAAAAAATATAAAAAATTAAAATGAATCAATATACATTTTAGGGAGTTTTATACTACGCAGTATACAGATACACACCTAACAACAAAACTTTGGTAACTTTCTTTTACATGATTGTTTCTATGGAAAATATGGTGCATCTTAACAGCACTCAATTCCAGGGTTTCTTCCCAAAAGAACAAAAACTGGTTAGCCATAGGACTGCCACCAGTGCTAACAAAACTAAGATCCCAAAGCCAAGCTTTCCAAACAAATGCTTGTCATCTCCTACCAAAAGTTCTTCAAGGACTCGTGACCTCTGGGACATTCCTCACCTGGAACCTTTCCAGCTCGCTGGTCACCAAGGCCTGGGCCTGAGCCAGAGGGGCATGGCAGCGCTCGATGCATTGGTGTACCTGCTGCATAGATGCTTGGTTGTCCTCACAGCAGTTGGCACTGCACCGGAACATGAGGCCCTGGGGAGGGAGGGCGGAGCCCCGTTAGAAGGTCTCAAGGAAGGACGAAGGTCAGGAGGCCATGCGGCTACATGCATCTCCCTTGCTTCCCTTTGCTTTCACCTTCCCTTCGAACATCAGGACTGTTTAACTAGGACTGGGATAACAAGAGTGCCTGCTCAGAGTGCTTCTGGGTTGGTGATATGGCGGCGGTAGAGCGCTGGCCTAGCATGCACGAAACCTTGGGTTTGATCCCGAACTGCATAAAAACCAGATGTGGGGGATTAATGCCTGTTATTTTAGGACTCGGGAGGCGGAGACAGGAAGCCAGCCTTGAAACCAAATGAGACCCTGTCTCAAAAACTAAGTGTTTCTTGCAGACAGTTCACTGTGCAGGTCGCCCCCTCGGCAGGGCTGGATGAAAATGCAGAGGTGGGCCATCGGCGTCCCACCAGGGCGACCACCGCCTCAATCGATGACTTGAAGCAGCGCTAAGGAAAACAGGCGCCTGGAGAGGGGGCGGGGCCGACACCCACGAAGTTTAGGGGTCACAGCATCTCAGCCAGCGCGGGGCCGACCGGAGCTGCGGCCTGCTGTCTTTCTCCAGCCCAGCCCAGCCCTCCCGGTCTCGGGCTAGATCCCCGCAGAGGCGGCCTGGGGCAAGCGTGGAGAATATCCCTAACTCCGGCCCCGCGGGTGGAAAAGGCCGGGCGCTTGGACGTCATCCTGCCGCATGAGCGCCCAATCCCGCACCCGGGCGAGGCGGCCTCCCCGCCTTGTGCAGGAGGGACGGCCGTGCTCCGATCTCGCTCTGCGCCGCTACCTGCATCTTCCGGATGTTCTCCCTCTCCACACTCTTCACCATGGCGTCCACCGCCTCCCGCACCCGGAGCTGCTGCACCTCCGCCATGGCGACCCTTAGCTACGCCGCTCCGGCGCTCGCGTGAACCGGCTGCGTCCCGCCCCCGTCGCCAAGCCCCGCCCTCGCCTGTTTTAGCCTGTTCCTCGCAGCCACACCCACCGTCCCTCCGGTCACGTAGGCCTGCTGATTCGCCCCGCCTCCTAGCCTTTGCACTTCGGCCCCTGCCTACCCCGCCCCTCGACGGCCCCGCCCCGCCCACTGGCCCTTGTGCCCTGTCCCTTGTCGCCCCGCCCCTCGCTACCTCGCCTTGCCCCCTGACCGGCGGCCCCTCCCGCCACGCCCTCTCTTCATGAGCCCTCGTCGTCCTCTGGCGTCCAGGGCCAGAAACTGCACGCCGTCCCTTGGCTCTTGGTGGGAGGGCAAGGACCTTCTTGCCGCTTGCCTCCCTCTGTTCCTCTCCTTCCCTCTCTCCAATCCCTTCCAGTTAGAAAAAAAAAAAGGTTAATGGAGCCCGGCGTGGTGGCGTGAACCTTATCCCAGCACTCGGAAGGCAGAGGCAGGCAGAGCTATGTGAGATAGAAGCCAGCCTGGTCTACGTAGTGAGTTCCAGGCCAGCTGGGGCTACAAGGGAAACCCTGTCTCAAAAAACAAAAGAACCCAAACAAACGTAATTAGCAGCTCTGGGGTGTACAGCTTCCTTTCTCTTTTCAGTAAGTCGGGGTGCAATCCAGGGACTCAGACCTGCAAAGTAAGGGCTGAGCCACCTCCCCAGTCAGCATAGTGAATTTTCAGCAAGCCATACCTTTTGCCAGTCTCTTCCCTTTCTCACCCATTCTTTCACCCCCAATTCGCGTGATGTGTCATATAGATTCCGTTTTATCATTCTAAAATTTCATATGTTCGTGATTATTCAACTCTGGTTTCACTCTGCACAAGGCTTTGGTTCCTTTTTACTGAGTACACTGAATGGGCATACCAAAATTTGTTCACCCAGTTTCCTTGTTGGAAAATTTTATCTTGTTCAGTTATTAGTTACGAGTAAACCCTAAAAACACTCTTGAGGAACTCTTTTGTAGATACAGATTTTCTTTATTCTTGGGTTAATATTCACAAATGTTGGATCATAGGCAGATGTATATTTCTGCATGTATTTCTGATGACCAAAATTAGCCTCAAGAACAGGCAGGAGTGTAGATACCCTGTAGAGTGTGTGTATGCCAATAGCACTGAGTTGGTTCTGAACTGGATTGGTTTTGTCTGTCTTGTTCTCTCACACCCCCATTTCTATTGTCTTATACATTCACTGTGCTAGGTAGGGACTGGGGTGCAGGGGGAGCGGCAGTGAGGAAGGGTAAGTATACAGCTGAGGGCAGTGTGGGAAGGGCTGCAGTCCCACTGGGGAGAAAGAAGTGAGGGTGCTTCAGGAAATTTCTTCCCCAAGGAGGAGGCACAGTTTGCATTGAATCTTTGGATTGAAGTAGGAGGTGTGTGCCTGGCATACAAAAAGCGGAAGAGAATATCAGGCAGGTCTGAGAAGTTGCTGTGGACAAAGCAGTGTAAAAGCTTGAAGCTTTAGGGGGAAGTGCCTGGAACAGAAAAGGACCTGAAGGAACGGGCCCTGCAGGGGTCTTCAGGGATTTCTGCAATTGGCCACTAGATGTCAGGCCAACTCTACTTTGAGCGGAGGAGCAGCCACACTCAGAACCACTGTCCTTTCAGGAAAGCGTGTGCCTGCATGGCTGGGCGCTCTGTCTCCCACATGCCAGTGTTGGGGGCAACACATGCTCACCACTTCACGCTAAGCTTGCAGGGGCTCCCAGCAGCAACTGGACTCAGGACGATGCAACAGTTACCCAAAGGGACAGGTGCTTTCAAAATGCTTTGCGTGGATTTGCTTGACTATCTTTTCACTGTTTTCCTCCTATTGGGCAGAAAACCAAGGCATGGGGAGGTGAAGGTTCTCAAACATCTACATACTGGTGGCTCAAGACTTCCCATTCAACAGGGTGGATGCCAGACTGTGGAAGGAGGAAGTCTCTCTTGAGACTGACTTCATGTCTCCAGATTACTTAGTTCTTTAGAGCATACTGAAACTTCTCACTTGTATCACAGTTTCACACTTCTACACTGAGCCCAGTTAATCACACTGAAATGAATTTGAAAGTCTCTTGCAACTTTGTTGGCTGGGTTTGCAGGATAAGTGGTTCTTTTGTACTTATGAAGGCTGATTCCTGATGTGGAAAGCTTTTCCTGGGAGGCACAGAGGAGGCACAGGTGGGGGGATGGGGTGAGGTGGGACTGGTGTCAGCGGTTGGAGTGGGAGAGTTTGAGCTCTGTGTAGAAGGTGCAGCCAGATGTCTGTTTGCATTACTGTCCTGCTGCATTGGGAATAGGAATGCTTGGAGGGTTATCTGACCCTAGCCCTGGCCAACTAGCTGGAACCCTCTGAGCCATCAGTGTCCCAGGTTCTGTTACCTAGTCTCTACCCCCTCCCATATCTCTCTGGATGGGTTGTGAGCTCAGGCCTCCAGGAACCCAGCAATTGTCAGGAGCCAGTCAGTCAGAGACAGACTCCTGGGAATGGGCCAATGCTCTTTCCTATTCACTGGAGTGGGGGCTTTCTGCTCCTTGCAAATCCTCATTGCTCATTTCTAATCCTGAATTTAACAGCAAGTGTCATCCAGAGGCTAAGCTATGGCCAACTGATACTGATGAACTTTTATGGGCCAATCCAATAATTATTTAAGCAGTTAGCACCCTCTCCCATCCCTCCCTCCCTCTCCCCTTTCTCTTTAAAAAATTTCAAACAGTATTTATTTATTTATTTATTCATTCATTCATTCACTTATTGTCTTTTTGCAACAGGGTCTCCCTGTAGCCCCAGCTGGCCTGGAACTCACTATGGATACGAGGCTGGCCTTGGTCTCACAGAGATGCACCTGTCTCTACTTCCCGAGTTCTGAAATTTAAGGTGTGTGCCACTATGCCAGGAAAAAAGTATTTATTTTTATGATTATTTATTTTTGTGTATATATGCCATGTGTTTATGAGTGCCCACAGAAGCCATAAAGGGCATCAGATCCCCTGGAGCTGGAGTTACAGGTGGTTGTGAACCACCAGGCACGGGTGCTGGGAACCAAACTGCAAGAGCCGGCGCACTCTTAACCACTGAGCCATCTCCCCTCCCTCCCTCTGTCCCTCCCTTCCTTCCTTCTCTCCTTCATTACCCTCTCTCCCTCCCTCTCTCCCTTCTTTTCTCCTTCCCTCTCTTCCTTGTTTCCCTCTCTCCCTCCCTCCCTTCTTTCATCCTCATGTTTATTTCCGCACATCATTTAACTGTAAACTGTCTCAGGCTCACTTGGGAGCTTAGGACTTGTTTCTCCTACTCTGTGACTCCCCAGGACAATACTCTCACCTTCATTTATTTGGGATTTCTTTTTTTCTAGTCTTTTTTCCTCTGTGGGTAGCTTTTTTTTTTTTTTTTTTTTAAAAATCACACTAATTGTATACATTTGACAATATCTTGCTTTGCATTTATGTTTCCATATCATTATGCACAACTAAAGAAAACTTACTATTTTTTTTTGAGACAGAGTCTCCCTGTAGCCCCAGCTGTCCTGGAACTCACTATGTAGACCAGGCTGGCCTTGAACTCACAGAGATCCACCTGCCTCTGCCTCCCAAGTGCTACAGGTATGTGCCACCACACCCGGCATAAACTTAACTATTTTTAGGAAGTTTTTCAGCATTATAAATCCTTGGTTAATATTTGCTTCCTTGAGTGTCTTGAAAAATTTTATTTGTGTGTGTGTGTGTGTGTGTGTGTGTGTGTGTGTGTGTGTATGTATGTGTGTATGTGTGTGAACGTGGGTGCATCATGATGCTCATGTGTAGATCAGAGGAAGACTTTTGGGAATCAGGTCTTTCCTTCAACTATGTGGGCCCCGGGGATTGAACTCAGGTTGTTAGGCTTGGCAGCAAGCTCCTTTACCCACTGAGCCCTTTCTCAAATATCTTAAATATGTTGCTCCAGTTTCTCCTGGCATAAAGCATTGCTCCTGAAAAACTTAATGATAATCAGTATTTCCCCCTTATAAATCTCTTGTATCTTTTCTACATGCCCACAGAAATGTTTTTCCTTTTTTCTCAAGTCCAGTAATGAAAGAACATATTAATGACATAGAGCTAGGGGGCAATGTGACATGGAGGAGGACAGAAGTTATAATACAAATGAGCAAGTTCTAGGTAGGGGCACCAGAACCCTCAGGGGAGCACTCCAGGCAAGGGCACAGGTGCCTTTAGAGTCCTAAGACAGTGACCAGACTGTGGAAGGTGTCGGCCTAGGGCCTAGGTGTCGGCTGTGTGGTAGGTCTTGACAGAGAGGGGCTCAGGCTACCCTGCAGGTACCCAGAGACTCAGTGTGAGTGACAGCTGCCTCAGAGCAGCAGGTGGCAGGAAGGGCCTCTGACCAGTGTGGGTCTCTGTTCCCCATTGTTCAGTGTAACTAGTGCTGTAGGAAACACAGAACAGATAATGGTGAAAGAGAAGATACTAGATTAGAAGATCTGCCTGGGCTAAAGGACTGCCTTATGAAAGTGTTTATTTCAGGGATGTGTGTGTGTGAGAGAGAGAGAGAGAGAGAGAGAGAGAGAGAGAGATAAGAGCTGTGCACAGTAAATATAAAATCATAATCTCTTTAAAAGTTTTAATTAAATTAATTAATTAATTTATATATTTTGTATGAATGTTTTGTCTGCATTTATATAAGTGCACCCATGTCATGCAATGATCACAGAGGCCAGAAGAGAGTGTCAGATTCCCTGAAAATGGAGATGGATAATTGTTACCTGTCAGGTGGATGCTGGGAACCAAACCTGGGTCTCTCCAAGAGCAGTCAGTGCTCTTAACTGATGAGTCATCTCTCCAGTCCCAATCTCTCTTTCTTTTTAAAAAAGATTTATTATATACTGGGCATGGTGGCATGCACCTTTAATCCTGGCCCTTAGGAGGCAGAGGCAGGTGGATCTCTGTGAGATTGAGGCTACCCTGGTTCGAATCATGACTTCCTGGTGGGCTGTGACTAGGGAGACCCTGTCAAAAAATAGTCAACAACTCCCC